ATCATTATTGGCTCATTCATAATTCTAAGTTTCAAACATGAAATAATATATTAAAACATAAACCCTATGAAAAAGTATAAGAAATATTTAAAAATTATATCAAAGTAAATATTTTTATGTATAAAATAAAATTTTAAAATTATATATATAATGTCGGGTTGGTTTTTTTTAGTTAAAACCAAACCAACCCAAATATAGCGGGTTTTTTTTTTCCAAAACCAAACCAAGTCAAACCAAACCACTAGTCGGGTTTTTTTTCCGAGTTGACTCGATTTGCGGTTTGATTCGGTTTCGGTTCGGTTTTGTACCGCCTTAGTTTGTATGCATATATAGTTCTGCTAATACAAGAATTTTCTTTTCGAAATTTGTAATAGCCAAGAGATCCCGCTGATGGCGACATGTACACATCTATGTCCTATGATCTATAACAAATATTTGTCTACTTTTATTTGTTATGTTAAGTTTTTCGAAAGTTAATTTGATTAATTTTTAAAGTTAAATTAGATTACATTAATTCAATATTTTTCTAAAAAAAATATTACATATTCAAAAACTATACGAAAAGCACAAGTACAATTTTTTACACATTCATATGATGAAAATATACATCGTAAAATGTTAGTAAATTTTTTTTATAGTTTGATTCTAAAAAATGAAATTATGACAATAAAAATGAACAGAGATGATGATATACCGTAAGATTTAGGCACTTAATAGAGCTAAATTAGGTATAGGTAGTTATCTAATACTACGTTTTTGTCAATTATGAAGATTTTCTACGAAAGCCAAGGATCCTTGCACGCTCACGTTAAACATCATAGTCAAAAAAGAAGGGGCACTTTATTCTACACCAAAGCAAACCTATGATTTGATTATTTGCATGAAATGACTCAATGTATTTATTGACTTCAAATCATATCAACGGGCAGTGCACGCTTGCACTGATAATGCCAATACATAGAAGAAAAAAATGTGATTGTGACATTATAATTTATGTTATTTTCTTAGTCTCGTATTAGTTGATCATTATACTAAAAATAATTGTCATTTATTACTTGATTATTTTACTAAATCAAGAAAATATTAATTGCACTTTTTTCTGTATTACTCTTGCAATTAATTCTTTTTGAAAGTGTTCACATTTATTTGTAAAATCCTAAGAAGTTTTTTAAGAGGTGAATTAGTAAAATTATCTTTTTATTTATGATTTCTTAATATACGTGTAAAAAGAAAAATGATCAAATATTACGGAACTAAAGGAGTATTGGACTAGGCATACAGTTTTAAAAAGAAATATTTTTTTTTTTGAAATTTATGGTCTTAAACAAATCTTAAACATTTGTATGACTATAAATTATTTCATTCAGGATAAAAAAGTTAATTTTTTTAATCTGATTATAGAAATGTAATATTAATCCCTCCATATTTATTTAGATGTCATTACTAAAAGTACATGCTTCTTAATACTTGTCATTTCACAAAACCAATGCATAAATGAATTGTTTTTCATATTTTATCCTTGAGAGTTATTAGTCTTGAAAATATGCATTTGACCAACATATATAGGAAAATTAAATAATTAATTCATGTTCATTGATCAAATTAACTAATCAAAATAAACTAATTCGTGTTCATTTATTGAAGATTTCAAGAGAACACTAAATAAGGATACATTAAATAAATTATACATAGTTTCTTAAGGAACGTGAAATCTAAAATGGTAACAACTAAATATAAAACTGAGAAAATATTTTTAACACAGACTAAAAATAAAAGTGTGTCGCATAAATTGTTACTGAAGAAATACAAGAGAAGATTAATTTCATAATCCATTACAAATTAATTTCATTTAGGATTAAGAATTTCAAAAGTAAAATATAAGGACATATTTACTGTGCGAATTAAAATATGGTGCATGTGACCCATGTCCTTTTTATCTCCACTTCTAAAGTTGATGCATATCTATCTTATGATAATGGAGAAGCAATACTTCATTGATTTTCTATCGCTGCTAAATCGTATTTTAACTTAGTTGAAATACTTTTAATAATATTCCACATTGTGGTAACTAATTATGTTTACCCAAGATCTTCTGAGTACTGATAACCTAGTCATATATTCTAATGTAATAATGTAAATTTATTCTAAAACATGCTTGGTCCAATATTGACCTGAATCATTAAGATTATCAATCAATTTTCAACTAGTAAATGTCAAATTTGCTGTTAACAGGGATTAATAATATAATTTAGAATTCAAATAAGTTTGTGTACATTTTAAAAGTTTGACAAATAACATGCTAATGCAAAATAGTTTGATTTAATTTAGAATTGTTTTTTTAAAAAATAATAATTGAAATTTATGATATTAAACATGTTGCTATAATAGCTTATCGTTAAAGATAAAATAACAAATTTAATTGCAAAATTATTTCCAACCACATAAATGTTTCATCGTTTTAAAACGGATCTAAAATTTGCAAAAGTTTGCATGGATGAGATTAAATTGAATAATTCTTTCATCCCAAAACCAACAATACAGAAGTAGCGTTATTATTCTAGGACCATTGAGGCTATGTGCATATCTATTGTACAAGAAAAAACAGTATTGAAAGATTTGACCAGATCTTTATCGGGCAAATTAAAAGAAAAAGAAGTATTCGATATTTTCAAATTATACAAACTATATTCTAATGAACTTATTATGTAAACTTACGGATCATAATATATACTGAGACTATAATAACTCGAAAGGGATTCGGTAATATAAATATTGTTTTCATTAATTTTAAATGAAATTTGACTTTAATTCCTTTCTACTCCAAAATGGTTGAGGAAACAGCTTCTTTAAATACCATGCATTCTTTAACATACATAATTTTCTATTTATCTGGATAAATTTTTATTTTTTTGTCTAGGGCAAAGATGTCGTCGTCGAATTCTCCATGTGCAGCATGCAAATTCTTGCGTAGAAAATGCACACAACAAGAATGCGTTTTTGCGCCATACTTCCCACCAGATCAACCTCGAAAATTCGAAAATGTACACAAGGTGTTTGGGAGAAGTAATGTGGCTAAATTACTCAACGAATTAAACGCGACTCAACGGGAAGATGCTGCAAATTCCCTAGCATATGAAGCGGAATATCGCCTCCGTGATCCGGTTTATGGTTGTGTTGGACTAATTTCAATACTTCAACATAAGCTTAAGCAAGTTCAAGATGATTTATTGAATGCTAAGAAAGATTTAGCAACGTATATTGGTCCACAAGCAATGTTGCCAATGCTTCAGCACTCTGGCTATATTCAACAGCATCCCAATAATAATCCCTCTTCTTCTAATATGATGGCTTATAATATGCAGCCAATGGGATTGCAACAACAATTAATGATGCGCGATCCTCAACAACAACAACAACAACAGAATCAGCAGCAAGTGATTGAAGCTCATCAATTAGCCGCGGTAATGGCTGCAAGGGAACAGGAGATGATGAGAACTTATGAGCCACAACAATTCAACAATGGATATGATTCTGCAGGTACTGTAACAGATTTTGGTACAACAAAAGTTATTTATATACATATTTTTCCAAGTGTTTTGATGAAATTTTGAATACTAATGAATAGTTATAATAATAGAGTAACCTGATATAAGTTGCTGGTGGGAGCTAAATGCTAGTAATAGATATTCCATGGAATTAGTAGAGATGGAAAAGATGGTCCGTACATTAGGATTATAAAAAAATTAAAACAGTTTAAAGAAAATGACTTCCATTTAGAAAACTGACATTTTTTACTTCACACAAAAACACATCTATTAATTATATGTGTTTTGAAGTCTTATATATTTTGAGGAATTTTTTAATTCTAAATCTTGAATCCGTTTTTGTCTACAGGGCCAGTAACTGCAACAGGATTTCATCAAATGAGTTCATCAGTATCTCCTTCATTGGCATTAGCCTCATTTGATAATGATCCTTATCAGATTCAACAAGCCCAGCAGGAGCAGCATCGCGGCCAGGTTCAGGTTCAGGTTCAGCCACATCAATTGCTTCAGCAACAACAACAGCTACCGCAACAACCACAGACACCACAGCAGCAACAGAGAGCCAACAGTGAAGAGGAAAGGAGCATTGGTCCTTCATGTTAATGTAACAAGTCAGTTGAAGATTTTTTCTTTTAACAAATATTTTTAATCTTGGTAAGTACCTTTCAATGCTTTTCCTCCTTGTCTCTTTCATATTTTACATATGAGTTCAAAAAGTATTAATCCTTGATAATCTCTTTATTACTAATTATCTTTACTTAAACTAATACTTGCATAATTAATGATTAGGGTAGTTTTCCCAGTTATACTATGTACTTAATTAGTAGTATTATAATTTGCAGGTTACAAAATCAGGCTTGTTAGAAGGTTACACTGTGTATTAGATCTTTTAGTGATAGTGTAAAATATTTAACTCGTCCACTATGATTGTGTCAGTAATTATACAATTTATGCATCTCTTAATAGATTGTCAAACACTAAAACATGCTTTAAAAACCTATAACCTATGTGGCAACATTAACATTGGAATATTGTAGGTCCTTTCCTTATATTCAACTGGTTGAACTTTTTTTTTTTTTTTTATATTAGTTCTTACCTAAGCAATTTGCCGGAGGTAAACAAAGTCATTCAATTTTTAGGTTGCTTGACCTCTAGTGACTCTTCTCAATTATAAGAGGTTTGGCACTAGCTCTCTTTTCTTTTATTGCAAAGAAAAAAAAAGGATTATGTGGCTTGCACTCTTTCCTCTCTTTGAGTAATTCACTTTCTTTGTTAAGCAAGACATATAGTTTTTTTCGTACAAGCAATATACTTGAAAAAGAGTTCTTTTTATAGAAAAAAATAATAGCATATAAAATTAAATGACAAGGATAATAAATTCAACTTTTAGCATGATAAGATTGAAGAATATTATTTAAGTGGAAGGAGGTGGGCCCCACTTATATATGTACAAGTACTTTAATGCAATGGAAGGACCAACATTGTACAAGTACTTTAATGCAATGTTGGTCCTTTCCAACTCTCACTTCTAAATAAGAAAAGAAAAGAAAACTTTTAGAAACATCTAGATAAAATTTAAATTTAAAAAATAAAGTGTATTTGAATACAAATATTCGATGAAACATGGGTAAAATGAGCCAATGAAGAGAGATAATATAAAGAGTCATATCTTTGAATGTACATAATATTTTTCATGATTATAATATTGAATTTAAGGTTTTATTTTCTGCAGGTTAAGGACATGAGTGGCCCTATATATAAAATCTATAACCGGCCTATATTCGTATCTGGGGCATGCACATAATAATCAACTTGTTATTAGCTTTAAATTAAAGTTGAAAATTGCATGGTAGGAACTTCTTGTTGGCCCATATCTCTTCAGTATCAGCAATCAACAGCCTTTTGATAAGGGTCGGAGTCAGAATTTTTTCTAAGATCATAATTTAGTATATAAAAAAGTAAATACGTGAAGAGGTCAAAAAGAGATTCAACATATATATATATATATATATATATATATATATATATATATATTTCCAGTGAAGTATATTTCAAACATTATTGATAATATTTTCAAATTACCAAGTGTTTTGATGAAATTTTGGATACTAATGGTTAGTTATAATAATGTGCATGCAAGTGTTACTGCAGGATCATGTAATATAAAGTTAAAAATTAAGACAGTTTAGATGTATTGTCCTTGGTTGGATAGTGTAACCTGATATCTATTGCTAGTGGGAGCTAATAGATATTTCATGGAATTAGTAGAGATGGGAAAGCGGCCTGGACACTAGGATCATAAAAAAATTAGAACAGTTTAAAGAAAATCACTTTCATTTAGAAAACAGACATTTTTTAGCTCACACAAAAACACATCTATTAATATGTGTTTTGAACTCTTATTTTAAGGAATTTAGAATTTATTAATTTTAAATCTTGAATCCGTCTCTGTCAACAGGCCAGTAACCACAATAGGATTTCATCAAATGAGTTCATCAGTATCACCTTCAGTGGCATTGGCCTCATTTGATAATGATCCTTATCAGATTCAGCAAGCCCAGCAGGAGCAGCATCGCGGCCAGGTTCAGCCACATCAATTGCTTCAGCAACAGCAACAGCTACCGCAACAACCACAGACACCACAACAGCAACAGAGAGCCAACAGTGAAGAGGAAAGGGGCATTGGTCCTTCATGTTAATGTTACAAGTCAGTTGAAGATTTTTTTCTTCTAGCAATTTTTTTTTTTAAATCTTGGTAAGTACCTTTCAATGCTTTTCCTTCTTGTCTCTTTCATATTTTACATATGAGTTCAAAAAGTATTAATCCGTGATAACTCTTTATTACTAATCTTCACTTAACTAATACTACTTGCATAATTAATGATATTGTTGTTTTACAGCAATTGCATAATTAATGATATTGTTGTTTTACAGCAATGCCAAACAGGCTCTTAGTCTTGTTTTACAGCAATTGCATAATTAATGATATTGTTGTTTTACAGCAATTGCATAATTAATGATATTGTTGTTTTACAGCAATTGCATAATTAATGATATTGTTGTTTTACAGCAATTGCATAATTAATGATATTGTTGTTTTACAGCAATTGCATAATTAATGATATTGTTGTTTTACAGCAATTGCATAATTAATGATATTGTTGTTTTACAGCAATTGCATAATTAATGATATTGTTGTTTTACAGCAATTGCATAATTAATGATATTGTTGTTTTACAGCAATTGCATAATTAATGATATTGTTGTTTTACAGCAATTGCATAATTAATGATATTGTTGTTTTACAGCAATTGCATAATTAATGATATTGTTGTTTTACAGCAATTGCATAATTAATGATATTGTTGTTTTACAGCAATTGCATAATTAATGATATTGTTGTTTTACAGCAATTGCATAATTAATGATATTGTTGTTTTACAGCAATTGCATAATTAATGATATTGTTGTTTTACAGCAATGCCAAACAGGCTCTTAGTCGAAATACTTTTAATAATATTCCACATTGTGGTAACTAATTATGTTTACCCAAGATCTTCTGAGTGCTGATCTTGGACCTAGTCATATATTCTAATGTAATAATGTAAATTTATTCTAAAACATACTTGGTCCAATATTGACCTGAATCATTAAGATTATTAATCAAATTTAAACTAGTAAATGTCAAATTTGCTGTTAACAGGGATTAATATTATAATTTAGAATTCAAATAAGATTGTGTACATTTTAGAAGTTTGACAAACATGCTAATGCCTAATGGTTTGAATTAATTTAGAATTGTTTTAAAAAAAAAAAAAATATTAAATTTATGATATTAAACGTGTTGCTATAATAGCTTGTTGTTAAAGATAAAATAACAAATTTAATTGCAAAATTATTTCCAACCACATAAATGTTTCATCATTTTATAACGGATCGAAAATTTGTAAAAGTTTGCATGGATGAGATTAAATTGAATAATACTTTCATTCCAAAACCAACAATATAGAAGTAGCATTATTATTTTAGGACCATTATGGCTTTAATTTGTGCATATCTATTGTACAAGAATAAAACAGTATTGAAAGATTTGACCGGATCTTAATCGGGCAAATTAAAAGAAAAAAAAATATTCGATATTTTCAAATTATACAAACTATATTCTACTGAACTTATTATGTAAACTACGGATCATAATATATACTGAGACTATAAATGGAAAAGGATTCAGTAATATAATATTGATTTCATTAATTTAGTTAGTGCATTTCATATTGATTGTGTCATCCTCCAAAACATTTCTTCTTCGCCTTCATTCTCATTTGTCTAAATTATATATATATATTTTTGATATAATATTTTCTACTTATCTAACAAACATAAAAAAAAATAAAAAATAAGAAACACATTTGTTTTCTAAAATACATTTATGTTCATACTGAACACACCCTTTGCTAATTATTTATTTTAAAATTTTAACCACCGACATTTAAAAACGTGTAGAGTTGAAAATAACTTATTACTTACTATACTTATTAGAGACTTTAAAGAATAGCATCCAAATAGTCATAGTTACTATGCTAATTTAGTATCTAATTAATCTTAGATGTACCAATAACATATATAATCATAATAAGTACGACTTTCAAATAAAAATACTTAATGCAGAACTATTAAGAAATTTTCTTTTCTCACGCACGTGAGAATATTGTACGACGTGTCTATATAATTTTATTATAATATAGTCACCGACTTACTACATATATAACTCAGCAATAAATAAACTAGTAGTGACATTGCTATATAGAAGTAAAGGGTTTAACTCAAAATTCTTCATTAAAAAATTTGATCGATATGACTAATTATATTTTTTTTATGTGAGGCGCATGTTAAATTATTCAAAAATATCAAAGTCACACGAGTATAAGTGGTTTTTGGGTAGGTGGGAAATTCATTGCTGGTTTATTTATTTATTTTGGGGAAAGTTGGAAGTTTGTGGTTAGAGTAGAAACTACTCTAATGATTATATTATATTATATTTTTATTTTTATGTTCGATATTCATATTGAAATTCGATAAATATGATTTTATATTCAAGGGCTCAAATCCGATACCTCTATTTAAATAGTATTTACCACTTCACCATAACCCTTATTGATAACGATTAAAATTGTATACAACAATAATGAAAACTTTAATACAATTAATATAATTTGACTTGTAATAATAAGTTAGTAATCATTTTTTACTAAATTATCGATTAATGTTAATACTAAAGATTTGTCTATAATTGTAATAATTACTTTCTTTATGGCTCCATCCAATAATAGTTGTCAAGACTCGATCAAGATTATTAAAAATACTATCCCAGTGAAATTGTTATTTTACAAAAACAAGATGAAGCTATAATTTTTGTCTTATTTTATCTTAATAATAATTGTTCTTAAAATAAGATTAGTTTATAACATGTTGACCAAATTTTTGGTAGGCAAAAGTGCTTATTTTTTCCCCAAAAAAATAATTAAAAAAGTGAAGTATTTGATCAGGTTTTTAAGAGAAAATAAATAATTTTGAGAAATAGCAGAAACTTTTTTCAGAAATTAAAGAAATAGTTTTTCTAAAAACTACTTTTTTGAAAAAAATAATTCAAAAACAACTTAAAAACACTTTTTAAAAATTTGACCAATTATCAATAATCAATTCTCAAAAGTATCTTCCC